CAGTCCGCCTTGGTGAGCTGTCTTACAGTTCACTTTGTTATTTAATGAATAAAATGGTACACGTGTGTGTGTGCGCGCGTGTCTATAGAAATTGTTGCTTCAGCATTTCCTGAAAACCAGTGACATTTTCTTAGAGGATAGATGGAGCAATTGCAGTCCAGTTTCTATCCATGATATTATTATAAACTATCCCGAAGTGCTTTGCAGGTGGGTTCCAGGACATCGCGTTTGACTGGTAGAAGTTATCATCAACAGAAATTATTTGCTTCTATTTTTTGATCACTGTTGTTCATTTGGTTACTAAGGGAGAAGACTTGACCTAATTCTTTATCTCAGCTCACTTCTCTCATCTGCTCTCCTTCCTTGAGAAGGAAAATACCTTAAATAATTAAGCTATCTAAAAGCTCATAAGACTGGAAGGCAAGTGTGCATCACATAGCTTCACTAGCAGCTGTCACACAGAAGCAGAGCAGAAGACGACAAGAGACAATTCCATTTCTAAGAATGCAGGAACCATCTCTGTCAAATCATTTAACACACCGTAATAAAGTGCTCCCTTCTTGATCATTTTAGAATTTCAGTGATGGGCCCAGCGGAACACAGAAATGATATTGTGAGCTAAGGTGTCACGTAGCGCAGGTATAACCACACAAGTAGAATAGATGTTTGAATGCTTCCCCAGGGGATATTCTTACTCGTTTTCTGTGCCAATGCATTTTTAAAATTTAAAAGCACTCTTTTAGACACATGAGTGTATGATTCCTTAGATGCACATAAAAAGAAACTAAATCACCTTATGCTATTTTGTGCATCCCATCTATCCTAGGAGTAGAAAAAAGGCTAATGACACAGAACTGGAGATGGGAAACTCTTCAGTGCATTATACTGGCAAGACTGCTCCTATGTGGGAGGAATACATTAGGCCTCCCCTCAGAAGCTACCACCTCTTACGATAACTAGAGCTACAATCTATTCTGTTCCACTTGTCTACCTATGCACAACTCCTGTGTAAATACCCAAAGGGAAAAATGCAGCTCTAGTTGACTTCGGCTACTAACTTTTCCTTTACCGAAGTGCTTTGGTAAGTATGTGACAGTCAACTCTAACCTTCAAATTCAGAAGGTTCAGAGTAAATTTCATTAAAAAGTGTTGATTTACTCTATGCAAGCTGCCTTCCTGAAGACAGACAAACATTTTCAGTGCTCAGAACTGTGTAATTCTAACAGATGTTTAATGAAATTATCACTGGATGTAGACAACTTGTCTACAGTAATAGCATTTTAATCAAGGTTAATTTCTTTTGGCCAAATTTGTTCAGATGGAAATACCCATGAAGTTCTCCTTTTGTGAATGATTGCACTTACATCATATAAAAAAAAAAAAAATCATTTTTACATGCTTACTTTAGATACATTTGCACAGCTATGCTGTCACAGAAAGAAAATCTCCATTTATATGTCCAGCCTCAGTTATTCAATACCTCTTGATCACAGAATGCAACAAACAGCATGAAATCAACCTGCAAGATGAGGATGTTTAATAAAATTTCTTCCACAGTTTCAAAACAAATTCACTGAAGCTGCAAACCATTAGCAGCAGCAGCAATTTGCCTCTTAAGTTATTTGCTCTCCAGGCTGCCCTCAGCATTGACATACTTCTGATGATTCCATTTGCTCTATTTTTGAAATATAGCACTCCTCCATATTATACTCTCTGGGACATCAAGATGGAAAGATATGTTTCTTTAGTCCCTCAAAGCTATGGTTCCAGAAATTTAGTTAGGCTTCTGATTTCTAATGCTTCATATTGAATAAAACTTCTCCATGTTGGGAAGGTAACACAGCAATATTTCAGATAATGTATGCGCAAGCATATGCTAAGATGCTGTGTTAAACACAAATAATAATGTCGTTTTGGCCGCCTACATGAACAATTACGTAACTTCTATTAATATAATAAAATGTACAAATGAACTGCTGTGTGCACACACCTATCAGTCCCATACAATAATCTAGCAAAAGTCTCTTCTCACACCTACATTTAAGGCCATGCTTAGTTTTTCCAACAGCAAGCTTCAACATAAACAACTTTTAAATAAAATTCAGGTTTCCTGGCACATGGAACAGATAGTTAGAGTTAAAAATTATTACATGTGCTTAGCAATTTTTTAATGAGAAACTTAAAGCAAGACAGTTAACAACTAGTTTTTCGTAAAGGTTTTCTGCCTTGTCTACCCTGCCAAGGAATAAACAAGTATGGCCCCTTTTGGAAATGCACATGTTTTGATGCCAATATAGTGAGCCACTCAGAATAATGTTTATGTTTTGCCAAGGTAAGACCACCAGCATTAATAACTTGAAACTGAAGACACCAGAAGATGAACAGATAAACCAGCAGGTTTAGCTTCACAGCACAGGCAAATTTTGCTAAAATAAATGTCTTCATCTCGGAAAAAGGGTTACTAAAGTTACTAAAAAATCCCTCTTTTACCACTGCTTGGTCAGATCAAGCAATGAAGCAGAAGGGTACAGTGAATCCTGGCAGAGACTTTACTAATGTGCTTTTGGTATAAGTTCTAAATAACACCTCCCTCCTCAGAACATGCCCATGTCCTGATTTCAAGTTCTCGTGTCCAGTGGGTCTGTTTTCAAAGGGATGCTTAGCACACACCTTGAAGAAATGACACGCTACTAATGTGTTTAAATGCTGATAGAGTAGCTAGCCTGTCCACCACTAAGAAGGTAAGTCCTAGGACTGGCATGTCACAGGCAGGAAAAGGGAAGGGCACAGCAGAGTGCAGGGACCTGCTAGCAAAACCACTTATTTACACAACAGAGCCACACACAGACATCTCCCCCAGCCATTACCCTGGCATGGAGTGGAAAAGCAGAGCATCCACAACACAACCATCACAGTCACCCTGGCTCAGGATCATAACAACAGCCCCACTTTTTATTAGGAAACACTGGTGTGGACAAAGCTCCATCCTGTTGGGGCTATGCTGTTTCCGACTCTACAGAAAGCCAAGTTGGCAGCGCAGCTCCTCCTTCCCTCACAACAGCTTGTTGCAGACACCTCTGTGTCAGGAGGAGTCAGGACTTAGCCATCCCCATGGACATCCATGCTGCCCATGGCAGCACGATGCTGCCATGGCATCAAGCACCCCTATATGCTCTCCCTCCTGCACACATCACTGAGGTCTGGCAGCACAAGGAGGCGGGTATGTGTGGCTGATGGGTGTCAAGGACCGAAAACAAAACAGTGAGATCCCTTCACAAAAAACCACAAGTGGAATACACATGCAAGTCATTAATAGGTTGGGCTGAATGCAGGTTTGCCTGAAATCCTTGTCGACTTCTAGTTTTTGTGAAGTTTGCTTTCTTCTAATTTCCAACAACAGCCAGAAATCTGTCCTGGTTTCGGCTGGGATAGAGTTAATTTTCTTCACAGTAGCTAGCATAGTGCTGTGTTTTGGATTTAGTACCAGAAGAATGTTGATAACACACTGATGTTTTCAGCTGTTGCCAAGTAGTGCTCAGACTACTCAAGGACTTTTTGAGCTTCTCCTGCTCGCCCAGGTGCATAACAAGCTGGGAGTACAGCACAGCTAGCACAGCTAACCCAAACTGACCAAAGGGCTATTCCATACCATAGAACGTCATGCTCGGGGGGGGGGTTAGTCGGTCGTTCGGTCGCGGGGAGAGTGATCGCAGCTCAGGCTGTGTGATCGCGGCTTGGGGGAGAGTGATCGCTGCTCGGGACGGGCTGGGCATCGGTCAGCGGGTGGTGAGCAGTTGCATTGTGCATCACTTGTTTTATATATATTCTGTCTATTCTCTTACCATTATTATTATTATTCTCTCTTATTAAACTGTCTCTATCTCAACCCACGGGTCTTACTTTTTTTTCTTTTCTCCGATTCTCTCCCCCATCCCACTGAGGGACGGGGGGGAGTGAGCGAGCGGCTGCGTGGTGCTTAGTTGCCAGCCGGGTTAAACCACGACAGAGTCAAAAGAAGGAGCAGAACAATGCACAGATTGAATGTTGCAACTAAGACCAGGAGGGATGCTTTTCATATCACGATTAAAAACATAGAGGAAAAGGAAAGGACTTTTTTATTTTGTGGCCAGAAGGGGCAAGAAAGGTTTAAGGAAGTTTAATTTTGGTTTTAGATGAGCAAAACCAAGCAAAAAAAAAAATACAATTCTTATTGGCTTCATTTAATAGAAGTTCAAGCTGTAAAATATTAAGTTTGGATGCACACTTGGAACACCATTAAGAGCACTGCTATTGCCTGCCAGGGCTGTGGGGTACAGCTGGATGTCACGACAAAGCCATTCAGTCTGCCTGCTGCAGCCAAGCACAATCAGTCCCACTCCTTCAATTCTAAGTCGTCTTCACCTTCACTCTCTTCCCTCTCCCCAGTCACCTCTCCTTTTTTCACTAGATTAGTTAAGGCAGGAGAGAGGGAAGGGGTATCTGAAACATGCCAACACAGAGCAGACAAGCACCAGAAGAGATGCAGGAGACAGGATGGCATGTGCAAGATTTCCTTTTCAACAGCAGTGAACACAAGATCAGCTTAGCAAGATGTTGGTAGATACTTAAAAGTTTGCATAAAAACTTCATGGAGTATAAAATTGAACAGCGTTAAATATAAAACCCCATTGGCTCACAAAGTCCCTTAGCCACAAAATGCTGGAGGCTGGGACACCACTTAGAAATTTCTCCAGACAGTTGCCTTTTTCTTTTAAGTCCTTTCCCAAACACCTGCTTTTAGCTTCTGTTCAAGACAGAGCAAGACCAGCCCTCAGCATAATATTCTTACATTCCTAATTGTGCTGCCACCCCAAACCCTGAAGCTTCACACACTGCAAACTTGTGTAAGGCAGCATGAAGTCAAACCACGCTACACCCTGCATGCCTACGCATTCATCCACACCCTTGCTGCCCCAAGCCAAGTACCAGTATGCCAATACAGAAAATCCGTTCAGGAAACTCATTATGTTGAACCTGGCTTAAGATGAACTTTGACTGGTTGCCCCAACAGGGAAATGCACTGCTTTGCTCTGTAAAGATATCTATGCAAATGAGAGCACACGGGAACTATTTCTTCCTGAAACAATTTCTGGGAAGTAAAACCGTAGTACATTACTCAAGACTGAAATAGTTTAAAAAATAAAAAAAAATAAACACCATGTATCAGTTCCTAAAAGAATCCTAAGATTAGCAAAAATACAAACTGAGTAATAACTGTAAGCATCTAAATACAGAAAAAAATATTTTCAATTAGCGCAGCAGACTAATTGTCCAACAGCTATGCTTTTACATAGTGATTTTCTTATGCATAGGGAACAGTATAAAAAAATTAAAATATAATCCTGATTACCTTGGGAAACTATAAAAAAAATTATTAAAGCTAATGAGATTCAATCCAACCAAACAGCACCAATGTAAAACACGAGATTTTTGACCTTGTAGGCCCCCATTACTTTGTACAGAAATAATCCTTTAATTTTCTGCAATGGTGCTTTCTGAAGAAGCACCTGACCCTCTAAAACACAGCTTTATTTAGAGAACTGTAGCCATTAGGCTTACAAAATTAGACAGACTGTACTAAAGTGCCACTGTATAATGCGCACATAGAAGGGAGAATGGTTTTGGCATGTACATCTGCCTGCCAGAAACCGGTTTCTCTACATCTCCTGCTGCCTCACGCTATCCTCCTGCTCTGTGCTCAAGTCCTAGACATGACAGTAGAATTGTTCCTCAGTTATGAAGAGCCAACAACCATTTCGGTAATATGCGGGGCCTGTAATGCTTAGGTTCATTTTCCTCCAGTTTTAAGGCTTCTTTTTATTTTTTTAAGCAGACTGTCATTATCATAATGTGAAAGTGACTGGAGTGGTGCCTAAATGTCCAGAAAATGCAAAGAGCCCAAAGGAAAGGCCACAAAAAGTCACACAATGCAAGGGCAGGACTTTCGATAGTGGCCAGTAGCAAAGTTAGAAGAGGAAGCTGCAGAAGACCACCAAAATGAGGTATTAGTCTGCTTTCTTAGGAGGGAGGAACTCTAAATCCCTTGTAGGTAGATAATGTTGTCACCACCACAGAATTAAGTCAAGCCAGCTTGACTTAATCAGCCCCATGAGCTGACAGAGAAAACAAAAAAAACCAACCCTGAAAATAAATGCACATGTACTCTTAGGCTAATGTAATAGTGTATTCAACTACGGATAACTCATTCCTCCCCCAATTCTTACTAGCTATAACCTGGTTACTGCTTTCACTTGAGATGGCAGCTCTTTGATTCTGAGAGACACAGACTACATCATTCAACTCTAGCTGTGGATTTGTAAGACTACACTGGAGAAAGCAAACAAATTCTACAATTTCCTGGGAAAGAATCACAGAACAGCTCATCCTTCTGCAGCACAATGAGCTGTAATAGTTACCCAGCAAGCACACAGAGAGAAACAATTGTAATGATCTCCACAGGTTAAAAAAAAAAAAAAAAAAAAAAAAAATCTCCTTCATCAGCTTTAACTGCAATGCTTTCAAAATTTCTGTGAATACCCAAGCAATCCTGTCTCAGTGGTCCGCATACTTGCACTGCATTGCTATGGGTTCACCTCTAAGTCTGGACAGTGGCTGAGTGAAATCAGAGCACAGATCTGTTAACTTTCAAAACCACAAGAATTTGTTTCCTTTTTTTTCTGCATCCAAGAAGAGGAAGTTTATTTTAAATGCTAATTAAAACTCACCCCCAAGACCCCAAATCTTTCACAAAAGTTCCAACCACAGAGAAAGTCGATTTCAAAGTTGTGATTAAGGATTACGATGGCATTCTCCTTCCCATACTTGTGGTAACTCCCTGGGTCAGTGTAGAGGGTGCAATCAGTGCCTGACCACCATTCCAGCAACATCACCATCTCTGGAATAAAGAACAAGAAATACATGAATGTACAAAGTATATGCAAAACCACAGATTGGTAACATGTTGAAAAGTATCAGTCACCTGAACAGTGCATGGCAAAGAAAGGGCTGTCATGAAGTTGAAATGCTGAACGTAAACCACAGTCACACATCTTGGTACACCAAGGTAGGGGGACAGGGGAGAGAAGGGAAATAAGGAGATTGTATGGAAAGAGGGAGAAGTAGTTTTCCACAGTGATATTGAGAAAAAGGAATTTCATTTATTTGAAAACTGCCAATTCAATGCTACAAATTATTTTATCAAAATAGATGTAAATTAGTATGTATGGTTTAAATAATAATACAATAAAATTAGATGAAGAACAGAACAAGCTTGTAGGAGAAACAAAACCACAGCTACGCCTGTCACATACTAGTCCTCACGCTCATCTAAAAACCGCACAATTATAGAAGAGAAAGCAGTTTGGACAAGACACCTGGAACCAGGTCTGTGTGGTGGGTTGACCCCAGCTGGCTGGATGCCAGGTGCCCACCACAGCCGCTCTATCACTCCCCTCCTCAGCTGGACACAGGAGAGAAAATATAACAAAAAGCTCATGGGTCGAGATAAGGACAGGGAGAGATCACTCACCAATTACTGTTATGGGCAAAACAGACTCGACTTGGGGAAATCGGTTTTATTTATTACCAGTCAAATCAGAGTAGGATAATGAGAAATAAAAGCCAAATCTTAAAACAGCTTACCCCCACCCCTGCCTTCTTCCCAGGCTTAACTTCACTCCCAATTTTCTCTACCTCCTACCCTGCAGCAGCACAGGGGGACAGGGAAAGGGGGTTGGGGTCAGTTCATCACACGCTGTCTCTGCCGCTCCTTCCTCCTCATGGGGAGGACTCCTCACACTTCCCCTGCTCCAGTGTGGGGTCCCTCCCATGGGAGACAGTCCTCCATGAACTTCTCCAACGCAAGTCCTTCCCATGGGCTACAGTTCTTCACAAACCACTCCTGTGTGGGTCCATCCTTTCCATGGAGTGCAGTCTTTCAGGAGCAGACTGCTCCAGTGTGGGTCCCCTGCAGGGTCACAAGCCCGGCCAGCAAACCTGCTCCAGCGTTGGCTCCTCACCCCACAGGTGCACAGGCTAGTCCCTGGTCCAGCATGGGCTTCCCACAGGGTCACAGCCTCCTTCGGGCACCCACCTGCTCCAGCATGGGGTCCTCCCTGGGCTGCAGAGGGACAGCTGGCCTCACCACGGGCTTTATTAGGGGCTGCAGGGGAATCTCTGCTCCGGCACCTGGAGCACCTCCTGCCCCTCCTGCGGCACTGACCTTGGTGTCTGCAGGGCTGTTCCTCTCTCGTATTCTCACTTCCCTTTGTCTGCAGTCATACAGGTTTTTTCCCCCCTTCTTCAATACATTATCCCAGAGGTGCTACCACCATCACTGATTGGTTTGGCCTTGGCCAGCAGCTGTCTGGGAGCTGGCTGGCATTGGCTCCATCAGACACAGGGAAAGCTTCTGGAAGCCCTGCTACCAAAACCTTGCCACGCAAACCCTGTACAGTCTGTTACAGGTACCCCTTACGCATCATCCTGTTAACTTGTCAGAAGTAAGAGTCATATGCTCTGCTACAATCAATGCAGTCCACATCTGACAGGGGTGTATTAATCATCGAGACCAAAGCCAATAGCTCAGGACTGGATGAAGAACATCAATCCAGAACATCCATCATCCCAGACCAAAGACAAGGTGGGTGGCTGCCAAAGTATGCAGGGCCAAGAATAGTTATTAATAGCATAACTATCTGCACATCCCTTAGTTGATGAACTGATGAAGCAAACAGGGGATGGTGGCAGCAGGAAGACAGGGAAATCACTGTTAAATACCTCAACATCACTCTGGATTGGCACTCAGATTTGTTCCCAAAACCTAGCCGTAAGAAATTATACAAGGACTGGTAGGACAGTGAGGGCTGTCTAAAACACAGCTGTCCTTACAAGCTGGAGAGTGGTTTCTCAGTAGTCTCCTAGTGACTATCAAACAGCTTTCACCTTCCTCTTTGCTTATCCCACTCCCAAGCACAGGCAAGAAGTAGACTTTGTATTTGTTTTGCTTATAACTATAAACCTGACCACAAGACTTGTGAATTAAACCTTTATTTAGCAAAGTCTCTCTGGTCTGGGACATGGAAGTTTAGGTGAGTCAGTAAAGCCAACAAGCTCTGAGAGCTCTATCTCCATGGAAATGGAAAAAGAAAATCTAAAAGCAGTGGCTTTCCTCAAGCAAACTATATGCTGAGCCAAGGGGACCACAGGCCTAATGAGAGCTGTCTGTCAAGATGGAAAAGAAGAGTTAAGGGACACGTTTGCTTCCTGTCAAAGCTATCACAAAACTTCTGCATGAAAGCAAAGGTCTAACATGAGGGGTCATTCTTTGCTAAATGAATGGCGTATCTGTGCCATGAGTGTCTCATCCTTCCAGCAGAGACATCTGAGATCTCTCCTGGCTTCAGGCAAGCACAAAAGTACCACAAATCCTCATTCACCTCAGGGAAGATCAAAACCAGTCCAGTCTTTGAAGCACTTCTGAAATCCTTTCAAATTTAGGTGCCCTACTGGCTTCAACTAGTGACCAAAACCAGAAAACAGTTAGGAACTAGTCCTACAAGTCTACATTTTCAGTCAGCAGCAGCAAAATTAATTGCTTGAAGCTTTTGGATGACATTGTGCTGTACACTGGAAAACAGGCATTAGTGACATGAATAAATTTTATCTAACAGTGTTACAGCCAGGCTAAGAGACAATTTCTATTCAAATAACATTACCTTAATATGATAAAACCATGTTTATGGTACGGATAAATGACTGAATTGTCAGTCCCCCGCTTGTTTCTAATCAGGGTAGGTAACTACTGCCATGGTAGGTGTACCTATTACTCAATGCACGCTATTATGCATCAAAACAATAGTCAGAGCTGTGGAGGGAGACCTAAACTGCCATACGTTAACCTAACAATGATTTCACTGGTTGGAAGCCGATTTCCCAACAAAAGCCAAAGATGTTCACACCTCAGCGAGAAGCTGTGGAGATACAGAAGCGTATACACAGCTGTGCTTCCAGACTTGCCCTGCTAAGAGCTGCTTTGTGACAGACAGTCACAATTTTACACCTTTCTAAGGATGTAGCTTTCTATTAGATTTGTATTGGAAATAAAAGCCCTCTACCCCCCAAAACACAGCAAAATTGAATAACTGGGGAAAAAACACACCACACTGTAATTTGCAAACTTCTACCAAATCTACAGTCACATCCTGGGGCAGGACATAATCACAGAAAAGAAAGGATGTTAGTGACAGGATTAGTTTGTCTTTTGCTTAACTAGGAACCCAACTAAGAGAAGAAATGATTGCCAGATGGGATTTCCTCTTTTTTGACCTCTACTGCTGTTAAACCTCTTGCATAAAACAAACAAGTAGAGATGATGACTGTGAGGACCTCTTGAATAGAAAGACAACTTTACCCAAGAAAAAAACAACTTCAGGCCATCCTACTTCAAGTGTGGGGTTTTTTTTGTCTTTTCCCAAGACAAAACTAATAATACATCATGAATCTCACTATATAGGTGTGCCACATGCACAGAACTCTTCAGTTACATATTTTCAGTCTTAAATACATTCCAAAAAATCATAGACAAAACTATTTCTCTGTGTGCTTTGATTCTTCAGGCTTCATGCAAGCAGGATTTTTGTTTGAAAGAATACTGCAGAAACAGATCCCTATTCGTCACCTCACGTGCCCATTTGTCACTGATGTGCTCACACAGTTGCTGCAGAAACACAAAAGAGCACTGAATGACTCTGTATTAAATACAATAAATACCATCTGCCAGCCTTTAAGTTCTTAATATGGCTCTTCCCCTCATCTTCCCTACTCTTTCTTTCCCCTTCTCCCCAGCTTGCTTTCTTTCTGCGTTCTCAAGCAATGATTAGTAGTGCCAGTTTGTGTTACTCTTGCATCATGCCTCCAGCCTACTTCCACAACCTGCCACAGAAATTTATTACACAGAAAATTGCTGTGGTGGCTCAGCAGCACAAGGTCATTCATACATACTCTCCTTCCTCCTTCACAGTGCAGACAATCAGTGCAAGTTTCCTTCTCTTTGTACACCAGTCAGACTGTAACTAAAAATCAATTTTATAGGGGAAAAAAAGATTCTCTTGCTCCCAGCCAGGGCCGGTCCAAGATTTCCAAGGTGTCTCCCCACCCCCTTTCGTGAGGCTTTGGAGTTTGAACAGCACAACTGAGCTGGTAAATACTTATTTACCCACATCATGGGGTTTCCTACCTTGCAAAGCAACTCCCCCAGTGACATTTCCACACAATTAATGCAAAGGAAAGGAAAAAACCAGAGGAACTTGAAATCTCTATGCCCACTTTGAAGGCAAAATCCTTGCAGTTCATTACAGCTAGCTTCAGGAGAGGCTGATGAAAAGGAGAAAACAGGCCTTCAAATGCCTTATATGGATACTCTGCTTAAGAATTGTGAGGTTTTTCTACCCTTCTGGAATAAAAAAAAATAACCCTCACCCTGCTACACAGCACAGACCCTACCCTCCTGACACTGCTTCCTAGCCCTTCACTGCACAAATCTGAACTGCCTTAATGCCTGCATTTATAGAACAAGTAACTAAAAAGAAAAGATCTCCAAGGCTGATCTGAACTACAACTAGTTATATAAAAAACATTTAAGGGAAGAAAGGAAACACATAGTTTTTACTGAGATTTGTTATTTTCCACCTCAAAGTTTTGCAAGAATGATTCATTAACACTGTTCTTCTATAGAAGTTGTTAGTCACTCCTTTAGCTAACTATTCTTGATAAGCCATGGAAACATTTGCTTACAAGATCAACCATAAAATGCCTATTTTAAAATGCATCTAAAAGCATAGTTATGTATCGACTCAATAAGTGCAATAATTTGAAGATCTCTGGTAAGTACGTAAT